GAGGGATGTGGTTCTGAAATGAGATGCTGCTCTTCTCCACATTGAAGCTTAAGCTTCTTAAAAACCAAGGATCAAATCTGAATTCAGTCGGACAACAGAGACCTGCGGAAGGAGATTCAAGAGAAGAGAGAGGACCGTGGAAATGAGGTATGGAATAGATTTTCCCCATTGCCTAATGATAAGTTTCCCCGAAATCGGGAGTGTTACCATCCCTACTCCAAAACCGCATATGACCGCAAGCATAGATTCCAGGATTACAATCATCCTCGATTGGAATGGAAACCCAGATACAGAGCAGCTACTACCTCAGAAAAGGATAGAGGAAGCAACAGAGATGGCTTAAACTCGAGAAACCTTATTGACACTAGAGCTGAGCATACATATTCCCAAAGAACTGTAACAGAGTTAGTGGTATATCGCCATGAATCTGAGGAAGACCATAATAGAAGATATAAAAAAAATGTATCCAATGGGGGATACACCGAATATAGAGGCGAGAGATGAAAGTACTCATAATCCTTCTCGTAATACTTTTACGAATGATGCTAGAGGAGTCAAAGAAAAAGAAGGGGGAAAAAGTTGTGTTCCTAAACCTGTTGAGAATCTAAAAATTCAGATGGAAATAGAGATTCAGAAAGCATTGCCCCCATGATGATACATGTGTCAGTGGGAAAAGGATGTGGCTGGATTCTGGTGCAAGAGAGAAACAAGGCCCCTCTGAAAATATCACGCCTGAGAGAGAGAAAACCGATGAATATGTTTAGAATAAATTGGCTCGAGAAATCAGTGAGATAAATGAGGAAGATATCAATAATGGCGATCTATGGGCTCATGAACTAGACATATATGGAGAAAAGATCGCTGCTATCTCGCATTTTTCTCTAAATGTTTTAAGGAACGACGAGGATGTGCGGTGATACTTGTCTATGTGTTACGTGAAACAAAACTCACAGATCCCCCAGTTGCCCCAAAGACACAACAATTGATAAAGGGGAAGACAACATCATCTAAAGCTTTAAAAAGAGTATCAACTAAGAAGAAAATTTCAAAATATCAGGAGATAGGTGGACTCCTTGCATCAATGAATATGAATAGCATCCACCCCAGAGCTTCGCCCAAAAAGAAGAGTAACCTGAATGCCGTTCGTCATGTACCATAGCTACTAACTTTTATCGTCAAGAGGTGTATCCCTCTGCTCTTAACAAGAGTAAATCTGTTGTATCAAGTTTGGTGGTGTCCCAGGAAAGCATCCAGCAAGAGAATATGAGTACGATCTCATGGAATTGTCATTAGCATGCGCTGAGCTCACAAAACATCACTTACAAGAGCTTCACCATTAACTGTGCAAAAAGGATTGAAACAATCAATGCTCAACTGAGAGTGTCCACCTAGACAATAACATGTCCAATGAAGATGTCCTTAACCTGAAATGGATGTTATGTTCTTCTTTCCGAGATGAGGAGCTATATTAGAAACAGAGAAGTCAGGCTAATTAGCTAAAGGAAGGAGATCGTAATACTAAGTTTTTTCTCATTTTTGGGTTGAGACTGAAGAAGAGATATAGCAAGTGGCGACATAATATTTCTAAAAAAATTTCACCTTGAAAAACCCAGGAAACCATAAGAAAACACTCTCGTATGTTACCGCGCAAGTTTCAAAAGACATGAACATTTCTCTTGTGAGAAGCCCATCAGACGCAGAGATTAAACAAGCTGTTTTTAAAATAAACCCGGAAAAAGTTCCAAGTCCAGACGGTATGACAGGTCTATTCTTCCAAAATTGTTAAGAATCAATAGAAAAAGACATCATTAGGACTGTAAAAAGGTTTTTTTAATAATGGAGACTTTGATTCTCATCTAAATTAAACAAACATCTGTTTCATTCTAAAGAACGAGAGGCCTCCAGAGATGGGCAAATTTTGACCAATCAACTTGTGTAATGTTTGTTATAAGATAATCTCGAATATCATTTGCTAAAGGTTGAAAGAGTTACTCCCCAAGCTCATATCGGAAACACTATCCGCGTTTGTGGTGAAGAGGCTTATCACAGATAATATATTGATCATTCAAGAATTCTTCCGTGCCCTCAGGACAAATCTCATTTGTAATTCCAAGTTTGTTGCTATAAAAATAAATATGAATAAAACATATGACAAAGTAAAATGGAGTTTCCTAAAAACTCTGATGCTAAAGATGGGGTTCGATCCAAAATGGGTGCACTGGATTATGTGGTGTATAAGTTTGGTCTCTTATCAGGTTTTGATTAATGGGGATCAAAAGAAAATATAGCTCCATCAAGAGGTATTCGACAAGGGGACCTCTTATCTCCCTTCCTCTTCACATAAGCACTTATAAATTTATTATGGGGAGCAGAATAAAAAGGGAGAATCACCGGACGTAAAGTAGCAAGAGCTAGCCCAGCTATATCATATTTATTATTCCCAGATAACAGTCTCTTTTTTTTTTTGAAAAACAGAGGAGATCCTGCAATGTGCGTAGTTATTAAAGATCATAGATATTTATGGCCATGCATCCGGACAACAGCTTAATTATTCAAAATCATTGATTCTCTTTGGTAGCAAGGTAAACCCTAAAATGCAAGAATACGCTAAAAAAGGAAATTGGTATTTCTAAAGAAGGTGGCATGGATATGTACCTTAGACTACCTGAGAAGATATGTGGTCGAAAAACAGGCTTTTGACCAAATCAGTAGCTCAGACTATTCCTACTTATGTGATATCAAGTTTTTATTGCCGCATGACATTATTAATAAGATGAGAGATGCTATCTCTCAATTTTGGTGGAGTATAACGGCTAATAGTCGTGGCTTACACTGGATTGCTTGGAATAAGATTTGTCATTCACCAGGCTTTCGGAATCTGAAAAACTTCAATTTGGCTCTCCTGGCAAAACATTTATGGAGACTCATTAGATATAGTTAGAGTTTTAAAAGGAAGATATTATCGATATTCAAATCCTATGGATGTTGAGAAATTTAGTTCACCCTCGTATGGATGGAGAAGCATTATCGCAGGAAAAAATATATTTTAACTAAGACTCTGTAAGACCAATAAATCTGGTTTAAACACCAAAGTATGGAGCGACCCATAAATTTGTGATCCCGGAACGTTCGGTGAAAAGTATTTCCACATTCGATGACCCCAACTTATATTTCAACCATCTGATTGACTTTGATTCTAAGCCATGGCGCATCAAGAAGGTCCAAGAGTTAGTCGATCCCGGCGATATCCCACGGATCCTAAGCCATAGACCGTCGTGTATTTTTAATTTTGATAGATACTTCTGGGATATGGGGGGTACAATTATATTTCTATATATATCTAATGAATCTTGGGTTCTGAGTTGATATGTGAGATAGAGGATGAACGCAAGGTGAGGAAAGTACATGAGCCAAGCACGACCATCTTTAAGCACAAGGTATGGAAGCTTAAAAGATCAAGAAAGATCAAAAACACCTTATATGGCAATTGCTTTCGGCATGTGTGGCGACGGTAGCAAACTAGCTGACCGTCATTAGAGTTTCGATTGAGCATATTCTAGATGTGACGCAAAAGAAGAATCGAGAAACCATTTATTTTTCAAATGTCCTTAAGCGCTCCAAATGTGGCGTTTGTCACCTATCCCAAATCTACCGGAGAGCGGGGAGTAACAGCGGAGCAGATCAAAATTTTCCTATGGATTATATGCCATATTTGGAAGGTTAGAAATGATAAAAGTGTTTAATGGGAAGGATATCCCCCCCCCCCCCCTTCTCCAACCCATTTAAATAGTAATCAAAGAAGCTGCAACTTTGGAAATGGTGAATGTGGTTAATGCTAGGAGCGGTGACGTGGAAACCCGGGAAGCAAAGTTACTCGACATAACGATTCTAGGTAGTGAAGTTTGATGTCAAGTTGATGCATTTTGGATAAACACTGATATAATATATGGAAGAGGTCTAGTATTCTTCCACATTGGTATGATTCACCAGGTTGGGGCCTTTGCGGGTAATTCAGACAGTCACCACTACACATGCACCAAAATGGAAACAGTTTTGTGGGTAATATATTGTTTGTCGATGAGTTTGGAATTACTTATTCACTTTCAGATAGATTGTCTGCAGCTTGTTAAGCTTGGCCATAGAGATAAGGAATGGTTAAATCTCATATCAGAATTAAAAAAAAAAATGATTATTTATGCTCTGGTTTCTCAGAGTTTTTTTATCCTTTTTCATACTTGTAACATCCGAACCGATCTTTTGGCTAAAGGAACTCATGCTCGTGGAATAGTCTTTTTCCATGTAAGTACGTTGGTTTCGGTCTGATTAATTCATCATCAAACTAACCTATTTTGAACCAATAATCCAATAAATAGAATTTTCTTTGATTGTAAAACAAAAGAAGTTAAAGAATTTATTGACACACAAACGAAATTGACATAAAAATAGCCCTAAGGAATTTTATATTGTGAATCAAAGAAAAAGATAAGAGAAAACTTAAATTTGTTACCGACAGCTAAAACATGTTGGTTGATCTTTCATAAAATGAAAAAAAAAAAGTTGCTTTGTACCGGCCCTCAAAAAGACATTATTTATCCACATACTAATTATTATATTTATACCAATCTACTTGATAGAAACTCTAACATACCTCTATTACATTGGGCTATACATCTCCAAACTCTTACATGTTCTATTCATCTTTTTAGAATTCGTTTTGTTCCACATTGTCAAGATAGCTATGCTGCTTTTCTGGCCCGATCTTCACGTCGTAGGAATGTTTTGTTTTGCATGGTTGTGTGTTGACGTTAAAAAAATATTACTGTAGCCAAAACAATATAATATAATAATACTCTTTATATTATATTTTTATACACTGTCGAGGCAAATTATTGATAGAGCCAAACTAAACACAAACCTTATATAGTACATTACCCACATAATAAAAGGGAAAACTACAGACATACGAGATTAAAATTTATTTTATATTTATATATGACATGTCAGGAAGAGGAGGGATAAAGTGTCCATGCTCGCCCAGATTTGGCTGTGAACTGTTTAAACCTACCATAAAACATTACTACTATTAGTATGAATTTTCCACCAGGACTCCATCGTCCCGCAAAGCCATAACCTGCGTCTTTGCAGCCACCGTCGCTTATGTCTAGGCGCCGTTCGCAGCTGTATCCGGTTGTAAATCCCACATTACCATACGCGCTACCATTACAATAGTAAAATTTTGTTATTTCGGTAACAAGTATAGGTTTAGTTTTCATCATTTCATGGAATGAACTAATCTGAGTATTAAATATAAATGTTTTTTTCAAATTTAGATATAGACTAAAATTTAGATATGATGAATTAATTGGTTGTCAAATGTTTTTATGGATGCAAAATGTCATACATATGTGAAAGCATATATACCTGATAACTTCGAGAGTGATGTTAAGGACATTGAAGTTGAGTGGATCCCGTTGTAGTTTTTGCCTTTCAGTGATGGAAATGAGAAAGATGCATATCACCAAAAAGGAAAGTTGTGACACGAAGAGCCAACTCTTCGTTCCTTCTTTTTCATTTCCGGAATCATTTTCTCCCTCTCTCTTTTCCTTCTTTTTTTTGGTCAACGGCATAAACGATGTGTATGGAGGAAGATACCTTATCAACGAAATTACATTTACTTATTAATCCCTAGAAAAACATATAATATTTTGTGAATATGATGAATTGGAAGGCTGTGACATTCTCCACTACCTCGAATGGACATCTTTCATTTATCTTACTGAATCTAAAACCATGGACATATTCTGATTCACTCCAACAAATATTGTCTACCACATTCTCTTGTAAGTTATATTTTTGGTAATTATATTCCAAATATAAGTATTAAAAAGACTTCAAAAGTTACTTCTATGCAGTGGTGGATTTTTTCAGTATAGTAACTTTTTTACTAAACTTTGTTTTCAAGTTTTCCAGTGTAAAAGTTCCTGTAGAAAACTTGACAAACTCACCAACATTTTCGGTAGTGTGAAAAATCAAACTCCAAAATAATATCAAAACTCCAAAGAAAGGGCCAATTGTTAATTAAAGTGTATTACTAATCTCCAAAGAAATATCATTACTATTTTTATAACCGAAATTCTATCAAAGTCAAGACTAATCTCCAAAGAAATAGCACCATTACTAGTGCAAAACTTTGCCTCGACTACCCACTCATAAGGGCATGCTTGGCGTTACGTGCTACATAACCTAAATATAAACAAATAACTATTTTGTTCGTAAAAGAAAACAATCATTGTTAGGAAAATGTCAAGACCAACAACATAATGGAAAATGTTTTCTTTATATAAAAGTTAGGTAAATGAATTAAAGACTTTCCAAACTATCTAGGTCCGGTTATTTATATTCATCCACGATAGGTCATGTTTCTGTAGTGAACATTCGGCCAACTTTCATGTGGTGACCAGACCTTTTATAATTGGCGCATGTTTACATACACGCATTAAACAGTTATATATTATATTGTATTTGTATTGTGTTTAACGCAGCACTATCTATAACTTTTTAGTTAAAAAAACGAACGGCGACTCAACTTGCATATAGATCTATATGAGACACTGCACCTATATATGAGTATATTCATGCACACATGCGTATGTCAGCTTCCACACTTTGAAAATAGGTCGAAGCTAGTTCACTTTTCGACCGGACTAGGCCGTTAATGAATTAGGTTAGCTCAAATTAATTTGAGTCCATGAATATGCATCGATATATGAGAAGAAAATTGAAGTAACTCACATCATGATGATGAAGAGTACTAAGATAGCTGGGGAAAGTGTGGAGAGGTCGACAACTGTTTCTCCGGTGTGTCTCGAGTTCACCACTTGAAACAACGATCCAACGAACTTCTCGTACCAACTCATTCCTTCAAGAGACTCCGAGCTCCATTCAAGGGCGCAGAAGAAAAGAAGTTGTATCATTAGAAACCCTAACACCGTCAATCCAAGAATAACACAAAGGCGAACGGAGAGTAGATGAGAATATCCCATCTTCTTGTGGTTCTTCAGAATATAACCAAACTCTTCACGCCTTGTGATCTTATTAAGTCCCCAAATGAGCAACACCAAGAAGCAAGGGAACAAAGTGTTCCCCATCAATACTTGAGGGATTAAGAGCCAGAGGAGACCCGAATTCTTGCGAAAGATAATCATGTTCTCATTCGTGGGAACAAATCCGCAGTTTGCGAAGGTGGAGACAGTTGTGAAGACAGAGAAGGTGAGAGATGAGATTTCTTTGGAACTAAGAACATCTCTTGCCGTTTTAACAAAGTTTACGTACACAAGAAGCAACACAGAGCCAGCTACGTTTGCTACAAGATGGTATCCAAGAACCACCAAGTACAAGCACTTAGACGCCCTTTCCTTTATCTGGCTAGGACCTTCACGACTATCTGTAGCATTCTCGGGGTCACTATGGCGATCCTCGATCCTGCGGTCCTCCTTAAAAGAGCCCTTTAGATGTCTAATCTTGTTATGAGGGAAGACAAAGTTGGTAAAATGGGATAAGTAGAGGCTGAGAAAGGAGGTGAAGATCTCGCCGCCGAGTAACATGAGGATAATGAGGAAGATAAGCTGAGTGTTGGAGAAGACTTCCATGTCCACGGTGGACATGGAAGAGACGGTGATGGCGGAGACAGAAGTAAAGAAGAGGTCCAAGTCATGAGGACGTGAAGTGGTTCTTGGCTTCGAGATCTTGAGTGCCAATAACCCTAAAAAGGAGAAGAACAAGAAGTAGATGAAGTAGAGGAAGAAGAGGGAGTCAGATTTAGCAAGTTGCGAGCGAAGTTTAGCTAATTTTCCCCCGACTCTCTCCATTTTATTTATTGGGTCGGACTGCGCATAATTATTGGCCATAGCATGTGTTTATATATTACACGCACATGAGCATTCTCAGCCACATATGTATATGATGACTATTACTAACATAATAACAGCATTGTCTAGTATAACTCGTTTTTTCGGCTTTGAATGCTATTGATGATAAGGAGAATACGATATAGAAATTCTATACGAAAGTACAAACGAGAGGGACTAGTGTCGTTGGGTCAGCATCATCTCTATGGGATTCTAGACGTAAGTTTTTCATCAATATAATACTTATATTTTAAATATTATCTAATTTTATAATTAAATTTTAAGTTACTAAAAGTTTAAAAGATTTTAAACAAATCTTGAGACGCGTGTCTTTTTATGACTTAAAATTAGTTTAGACTATAGTAAAAATATTAATATTATATTATGACATATGTTGAACCAGAAAATCCCCACTACAGTTTCGGAGAATAAGATTTTTTAGAAGTGATTATAAAGAATGGGATAACCGAGAGGTTATGCCGAAATGAATAAGGTGTTTGCAATGTAAACTAGAAAGCGTTGAAGTCTCTGGTTTTTGATGTACTGCTCTCTAGAATGTATGAGTTGTCCTTCTTGGCTTCGGGGTCTCTTTATTTATAGAGATAGGAGGTCGGTTGCTCCGAACTCCTTTTCCTCTTTCTTTATGATGAGTATTTTCATATTTGCGATATGGAAATATCCTTCATTCTCCGAAGAATATGAAAATTTTCTTTTATCCTTCGAGTTAATCCGATATTTCCTGACTTCGAAGGTTATCTTTAGGAGTTTTCCGAGCTAGGTCGACGCAGTCCTCCTAGTCTTGATGGGCTTAGGTTACTGCTAGAGAAGGCCTTTTAGGGAATGTGCTCATTTTCCTTCTAACAATAAGTCCCCCCCCCCCAGTTCGGTGAGACCGATTGTAAATCAGGTCAGCGGACTTCATGAAGTTTCAAACGGGTTTGATCTTGCATTAAGCGTCAGCTTGTCAAGAGTGTTTCTTCGCGATGACCAGCTCGGGCCGATTTTAAGTTGAATTGACATGTGGCGCTTCCTTGGAATTAATTATTAAATGTTCCGACCATTTTAGGGTTTTGCTTTCAAGCGGGAAAGGCGAAGGGTTTGCCAGGCGGCGAGATTGCGAAAATATTGACACGCGCCCCTTTAGGAAACTGTTGAGATTTCTTTCTGATTTACTTACTTTTACCTCTTCGTCTTCTTGCCTCAGATAATCTTAACTTTCTTATGTTCTGCAAAAATCCTTCTTTTGCGGCGATAATCCTCTTTTCTCCAAAGATTTTTCTTTCTTCATTCTTCTTGATTTTGGATTTTTAAAGGTATGGGGCTAAGGAAGAGAAATAAAATTCCTTTGCTAGACATCGACATTCCCGATTTCCCTCCGTGTAAGAAGCCGAGATCGGAAGATCCACCGCAGGATCCGGTCGTTAAAGATACTATGCTAAGCGAGCCTAACGCGGAAGATCCATCGCAGGATCCTGCAAATGAGCGATCATCTCCAAAAACTTCAGCGGAAGGTTCGAAGGTTGAATCGTCAATCGAAGAGCAAGGCTCCGTTTTTGCGACAGCGGAAGAGCAGGATTTTAATCTGCCGGATCCGACAAGCAGCTCGTCGAAAGACCCAGAAGATGCTGGTGAGGATCCTGGTTTCAATCCTCATGAATTCCTGCTCCGTTGGGGCGGGAATTCTTTGGCAATGTTTAACGAGTACTTCGTGGCAAATTTATTCTGGCAATGTAGGGCGAAGCCTAACTAAGAGACGTCAGTAGAGAAATTGAAGCGGTTTTCTTGCTTTTTCGGGATGGCACAGCGGTTTATGCAGGGTTTGGGTTTATGTGCGTCTTTGATCGAGTCATATGACAAAGAATCCGTACGGGAGGAGAATAGAGCTGAGGAGCTGGTAGCCAAGGATCGAGAGCTTCGCGGTGCTTTAGCGAAGATCAATGAACTTGAGCGTAAAAAGCTTAAATTAGAGCTTAAATGTCAGTCTCTTAAGGTTGAGTCTGCCAAAGAGAAGCAACTTCACAGGGATGGCCTGGAGAAGAGTACGGCCGAAGAGACCAAAAAGGCAGCTGCTGTCGAGAAGGAGTTCCGGGATCATCAGCGCAAATTAGTTGATCGCGTGGTCGATCTGACGTACCGGCGTCTTCGCAAGTGGTATGACCCCTGCATTGAGCGAATTAGGGTGTTAATGGCACAAGAACCCGATATTCACCGGCTAGAGCTCCGGATTGTTGATGCCGAGGCGAGAGCGGATTGCTATAAGCAACTTAGGTCGGCGGGACACGAGGTTCCGATTAAGGAACTTCTATCCCACTCTGCTGAAGCCGATCGTCTGAAGATAGAGTGTCATGGGATGAAGGATGCTCTGCTTTCTCCAGATGACTTCACTGCTCCGACATGAATTCATATGCATCCTCTTGACGTGGAGCTAGAAGCGGCAGGGATCCGATTGCCGAGGCGGCGTAATTTTTTGTAGTTTTTTTTCTCTTTTTTGCTTTAAAAATGTATGTAAGATAAAATGCTCCTTTAGTTAATAAAGGCAATTTGATAGTTTTATTATCTATGCTGTTTTATACTCGTTGACGAGGTAGTCCTTTAGTTTTAAAGGTTTTGCGAAGTCAAAAGGTTTCTTTTACCTTGCGGTGCGGGGGCATTCTTTAGGCCGGTGCTGGAAGCGAGATTCATTTGCTCGTCTTATACCAAACGACAATCAAGATCGAATACCAAGCTTTCAGGATTCGCTTCGGCCTGAAAGGTATGAACGAGGATCATGCGAGTATTGTCCCGGCTTTCGTTTTTTCTACTTCGGAAGTAATTAAATTGAACCGAAGTATCAAAGGAATGGTGATCAGCCACTAATTTAGTTTTTACGCTTGCTTTTTCGAATCGAATGTTTGGCCAGAACATCGATTTAGCAAGATGCATTTGCATGAGAAAATAGACTCTACATGCCGAGCTGATTTTATGATCAATTTTGACCAGTGATTTTTACTTTGAACGCTGAGCTGGTTGCAAAGATAGTTTTATTAAGATAGTTATTGGACCCGGAAGCTGCCTACATATCCAAAGTGGGATCAAGTCATCCATAGTTCTTAGTGACAAATGTAGTCTTAAATGCCGAACTGCATTTTCTAAGGGTAGTATTTCCATAAATTCATCGAATTTCGTGCTCGCATGACCGGTTTCCCATCCATTTTCTCTAGCTTGTAGATGTCGGGTCTGACGATATGTATAATGCGATATGGTCCCTTCCAATTTGCTTTAAGTTTCGTCGGATTTGTAACCCTACGTAAAACGAGGTCATGGAGTGAGAACAACCGGCTGCGTACCTTTTTGTTGTAGTATCTGGAGACTTGCTGCTGATAGTTCTGGATTCACAATAAAGTTTTATCGCGAAGTTCTTCCAAGCCATCAAGCGTATTGATTAGTTTTTCGTTATTTAGTTGCGGGTCCTGAATCATTAAGGTTTGTCGAGCACTTAGTATGTGAACTTCGGCAGGTGCTAACGCTTCACAGCCGTGAGATAGCGAAAAGGGAGTTTCCCATGTTGCAGTTCGCGGAATCGTTCGGTGGGACCAGAGGACCCCATCCAGTTCATCTGCCCACCTTCCTTCTAGGTCTGTTAGTCGTTTCTTAAGGCCGTCAAGACTTATTTTATTAGAGGCCTCCGCTTGCCTGTTACCTTGCGGATAGCAAGGTGTCGAGTAATTTATGCGTATTTCCAAAACTTCACAGAAATTTTTAAAAATCGACGAAGTTAATGGCGTGCCATTATCCGTGCAGATCTCGTACGGGAGGTCGTACCAACATATGATTTTTCCCATACGAAATGTTGGACGTCGATTACCTTAATGCTGGGGTATGCTTTAGCTTCAACCCACTTTGTAAAGTAGTATGTCATCACCAGGATGTGTTGATTGTGACCTGAATAAAGTAGTGTGCTGCTTTCCTTCGGAGATGCCTAGCTGCCCATCTATCCTCTGGGACCGTCCCTTCCAACAGGTAAGACGTGATTTCGTCTTGCTAAGGTCGCTTTTGTTGTTCGGTGTCTTCTTCCATTGGATCGTCCACTTCGTCGTCTTGGTGTAATACCGCGTTGCAAGACCCCTTGGATAGCTGAATACTGGGTTGCTCGATGATTTCTACTGGAATTGTTCGGCAGAGCGCCGGATCCGTTGCAGATGCCAATGCTGCAAGCGCGTCGGCAGCGGTGTTTTTAGTTCGCGGGATCTTAGTTAGTTCGAAGGAGTCGAATTGCTTTGTTATTTCTTGAACCTGCTTCAGGTAAGCATCTATTCGGTCGTTCTTTGCGTCATAGTCTCCTTTGAATTGGCTGGCGACGAGCTGGGAATCACAAAAGGCATGAATATGCTTTGCCCCTACTTCTTTGGCGAGCCGAATCCCTGCGAGTAAAGCTTTGTATTCGGCTTCGTTGTTTGAAGCAGGGAAGCCAAGTTTAAAAGACAGCTCAAAGATTTCTCCTGTTGGTGATTTCAAACAAATGCTGACTCCTGAGTCTTGCTTTGAGGATGCACTATCGACATATAAATTCCAGTGGTTATCAGTAAGTGACTCATTGCTTAGTAGATCTTGTGGTATTTCGACCATGAAGTCCGCTAAGACTTGGAATTTGGTGCTAGTTCGAGCGCGGTATTCGATATCATATTCGGACAGTTCTATCGCGCATTTAGCCATTCGGCCGGATTGACTTGGGCTGTGTAAGATACTTCGAAGCGGTTGGTTGGTGAAGACGATAATAGTATGAGATTGGAAGTAGGGTCGCAGTTTTCGTGCTGAAATGATTACTGCATAGGCAAGTTTCTCTAGAGCTGGGTAGCGAGTTTTGGCCCCATCCAATGTCTTACTTACGTAAAAAATTGGCTTCTGCTCGCCACGATCTTCCCTGACAAGGACACCGCTTACTGACGTTGTTGAGACTGCGATGTAAAGATATAAAGTCTCGC